AGCCGCAAATAGAATACTAACCTTATTTATGCCTCTTTGCTTTACTTTTACTACTATAACTTTTTTAAAAAAACTGTCTTTAACGAAAATAGCCTGAGACTCAGGGTCAGACTCATCCAAATTATTTGACAAAAACAAACTCAATTCAATGTCATAATCTTCACGCTCAACTGGATAAGAACCAAGAGCCCACACCACTAACAAATTAGCATCTTCTTTCACATGCTGCCTCGCCAATTTGATTCTAACAACTGTATCAGCGTAGCACGGCATTAAAAAAACTTAATTAAAACAAACAAAAAAAAAATAATAAATAAATAAATCAAATAAATGGATAAATAAATATAAATAATAAATAAATAAATTTAATTAAATTATTTATTTATTTAATATTTAAAAATTTAAGTATTTAAAAAAATTTAAAGATTTAAAAATTTAAAAATAAAATCAAAAAGACCTTATTCTTTAACGAATACGCAAAAACATACGCAAAAACATCCGCTATATATAAAAAATACAAAACACTACAGACACATACAACCGATTATAATTACGTAATTATTAGATCAACTTACAAAAAATAATAATATCATAATGATACAATAAACGACCAACTAGAATAAATTTAGCGATAATATATTTATAACAACTTAAACGCGAATTCACAAAAATAACATCACACGAAATTTACCAATCGATTAAAAGATAAAATAACGATTCACATAGCATAAATAAGCATTGACATCACAAACAAAAAAACTCTAACCAATAATAAACCTTTTTACAACTCAACCCGAATAACAACACGTTTCAACCAAATAATCCCATTACCTGAATATACTTAACCAACATAAAATCAATCAAAACTACACCATAATTCAAATAGTTCAAATATTTAAATTATTCCAATGAAATTCTTATAAATAAAAAAAGATGGATGGCGCGAATGCGCCACCCGTCGCACTAGTTATTATCAAAGTTTATCGAACAATACAATTGATCAACCTAATTACCCGTGACTTAAGTCTCTCCGATACAAGTACTCGTGACGTACTAGTAACTTGAAAATCCGAACTCAGCCGATCTATTTTCTCGTGACGTGAAATTGATGAACAAGAATTGACATCACCGATTAAAGTTGAACATTGAATTACCGAAAAGCCGCAGTTATCGAAGTGACATACACGTGACTCTAAAAAACGCAGTACGCTAAAGAAAGAAGAATATAGAGTATTAGTATTGAATATTAGAATAATAGCAAGATAAATTAAGAAGTATAAAGCAAAGGATACTTATATTAAACCCGGCAAACACTAACAAGACCCAAAAAGATCTTGTAACTCGGATCAAGTCTACCACGCCTCTATTCGAAGCCTTCCACTATAAGGTCCTTGGAGTCTTGGGATCATTTTTGGAGTATTATAGTTATAGTTTAGATAGTTTAGGTGTTTTAGTGTAGTATTTAGTTAGTTTTATCTTTAAAGAAGCCAGTCACACTTTCACAACGTACGTACTCCTTTTCTGGTATGCATTCCGTACCTCATTGCTTAATTTTGGTACCGTTTCACAAACAAAATTAAAGTTTATAAGGATAAAATCGTACATACGTACGTACGTACTAGAATTTTTTGATCATTTCAATATGATAGCATTACCAAATGAATGCTACTATGCAATTTTTAATAAACTCCGGCACAAAAATAAAGACTTATTTTCATGTACACTTGTAAACCGTCAATGGTGCAGAATTGCTATATCAATGTTATGGAGCGAACCAGATTACTGTTTTAAAGACGAAAGATTTATAAAAATATTACTTTTAACTTTAAGTACTGAAGAGCAAACCTTATTAATTCCTTTTAGAATTACACTTCCAACTTACTCAAAACCACTATTTGAATATACAAGTTATATTACATCTATTAATTATTATTTGTATGATGGAATTATAAATTGGCTTCCTTGTTATAGTGTTAAATATTGGTATGAAAGATATGAACTTGATAATGCAGTTTAATTGCAATGCTTCTACGAACTAGTAAAAATCTTAAATTTTTATATATTGATGAAATTATTTGCAATCAATTAATATTTGAAAACCTTTATAAAAACACTACCATTACGACTATATATTTATTTCTCACGCCTAATATTAGTGATGATTTTAAATCTAAGGCAATAGACGCATTAACAAATATCATTTATAAAAATTCTACTTTAACTTTTTTAAACCTTTGTTCTAATCAACGTAGATTTGAAGGAATGGAAATGTTATTAGAGGCTCTTTATAACAACATTAGCATAAGTTCCTTAGGTCTTAATAATAATCAAATTAGTACTAGAGATACCAATATGTTGGCAAAGTTTCTTGGTGAAAACACCAATTTGACTTCTTTGAGTCTTGCTGGTAATCATCTTGGATCAGAAGAGGGAAAAGCCATAGCAGACGCACTTTACACGAATACTACGTTAACCTTTCTGGATCTTAGTGTAAATAATCTTGGATCAGAAGGAGGAAAACTATTAGCAAATGCTATCTGCGAGAATATTACTTTGAAAGCTTTGGTTCTTCATAGTAATAATCTTGGATCCAAAGGAGGAAAAGCATTGGCATTTGCACTCTGGAAGAATACAACGCTGACTTCTTTGAATCTTGGTCGGAATCAACTTAGATCAGAAGGAGGAAAAGCATTAGCTGATACACTTTGCAAAAACACCACACTGACTTCTTTGAATCTTTGTTGTAATTATCTTGGACCAGAAGAAGGAAAAGCATTTGCGGATGCACTCTGCATTAACAACACTTTAAAAGATTTAAATCTTAGTAATAATAATCTTAAATTTGATGGAGGAAAAGCATTTGCTGATGCACTTTGCAAGAATACCACGCTAATGTCTTTAAATCTTGGCTGGAATAAACTTGGATTAGAAGAAGGAAAAGCATTAGCAAACGCACTTTACACTAACAATACTCTGAAAGACTTTAATATTGAATATAATAAAATCGGTTTAGAAGGAGGACAAGCATTTATAGATGCACTTTGTGAGAACACTACGCTAACTTTTTTGAATATTAAATTTAATGATATTAATTTTAAATTAAAATCAAGCAATCAGCATATAAAATTACTACAGTAATATAGTATAGCCCATAATGTATGTTAAATGTAACGCAGTAAATATTTGATATTAAAAATATCAAAAACAACTTGGCCAAATAAAAGAGAGAATTTGTGTTAAATCTAAATCTAAAACAGTATAAAATATTAACAGCTGCGTGATGTTATCATGTAAAATCAGAAATTAATGTATATGTTGTGCCTGAGATTGATGCTTGCGTCAGGTGATAGCTGACGCATCTCAGATGTCGATCGTTAGATAAGGTGCCTCAAATAATTTGAGATGCGTCGACTGTCGTTTATGATTAATAAAAAAACTTTGAAACCTATATATCGAGCATATTTGACCAATGTAGTTGTTGATGAATTAGTGTAATTAAATAAATAGTATTAGTTGGCGGGTATAAATAAATTATAAAAATAAAAAATTAAATTAAAGTATTAAATAATTTAAATTATAATATAAAATAAATAATTTGAAAAATAATCATGTGGATTACGAATATTTGTAATGCAAAAATAGTATAATAAAGCATTGAATAGCAATGCATGAAGAATGAAGTAATTGATTAGAGTCAAAAGTTAACAAACGGAAAATGGTGTAATTAATTAGAAATCAAAAATCAAAAATAGTCTGATTGTAGAAAAATAAGAGATACTCACCTAATAGTTTTCTATTGTGTCTTTATTATAAAATTCTTCGTTATTAGGCACATTCAATAACATCCACTATTAAATATAGAATTTGAATTCATTTGTCCAAAACTTTTTCTGATATTGTCAATAATTATATAATCGGCCTACCTGAATATAAACAATCAAAGGCATTAATAAATATAGAGCTTTATAATCAAATTAAATTAATTTTAAAAAATCCTAATGACGTTAATACTGGTGACAAGAACACTAGAGGCTGGGTGAAAAAATGATTTCTTCTTGAGGAAATAACTCCTAATAAATTTCGGATATTAGTAAAAAAAAATAATAAACCAATTTTGGTTGTTGAAAAAATGTATGAATTTCTTTGTAAAACCCATGCCGAAGTGAATCAACATGGAGGGCAAAAGCAGCTATGGAAGTCAATTCAAGAAAATTGGGGATGGATCAGACAAGAAATCGTTGAAAAGTTTATTAATAATTGCACTATTTATGCTGTACAAAAGCTATCATTTCACCCATTAGCAGCAAACCCAATTATTGCCTGAAATTTCTTATCTCGAATGCAAGTAAGTTAATAATATTTTTTGTATTTTCTTTTAGGCAATTGAACAAGGTTTTAACAATATACCAAACTTTGCCCAAATTGCTAAAAAAATATTTAAATACTATTTTTTTTCTAATAAATAATTTAATCTAAAATTATAGATGGATTTGATTGACTTATCATTTGATATTGATGGTGATTATAAATATATTTGCCATGTTAGAGATCATTTTAGTTGGTTTTCATGGCCAAATCACTTACTTCTAAATGGGCTATAGAGGTTGCAGTATACTTATTTGATTTATTTCATTCTTTGGGTTCTCCCACAATTATATTACAATCTGACAATAGTAAGGAATTTTGTGCATTAGTAATTATGGAACTAATGAAAATGTGGCCATCTGTCAAGATAATCAATAAGCAATCACATTACCCACAATCCTAGGGATTGGTTGAGTGTGCTAATGGGATCCTTCAGCAAAAACTTGGCAAGTGGGAAGACACAAGACAGAGCGACTGGTCATTTGGACTTTGATTCTTTATATCTTCCATGGATAATAGTTATTGTTGTTCTCATTAAAAGACCCCATATAAACTTGTATATGATGGCAAATCCTATGGAATTGCATAATAATTAATAAAATATTTTTAAAGAATGTTAGAGATGAAGAGGCTATACCTAATATAATAGAAATTCAAAATTCTGAATATATTGAAAGTTTGGATAATGATTATAAAGGTAAATATTTCAATATTACTTTTTTTTTTTAATTATAATTAAACTAATTTTATATTAATTTTACATATAAGAAATTGATGATATTTCTAATAACACCAACACACAACTTTTTGATATAACTAATGCTATTTCTGGGCATGAAATTCTTCATCAGTCAGCACGTCAAAATCTTGAAGCCTATACCAAAAAAATGGTTCATCAAATGTCTAAG